CCCCTCGCCCTGCGAGCGCATGTACTGCGGCAGCGCCATCGGTGACCTCAGGTGGCTCCTCCCACTTCTCCCGTGTTGTCCGGCCTCCCTTGGCACGGTCTTGTCCAAATGGCGCGCAGGTGCCACGTGGGTGCCACTTGGTCACTGGATCGTCGAAATCGACATTGGATAGCGGCATACTCCGGCTCAGTGCTACGCCAGCCTCCGCTTCTTAGTGCGCGGCCTGATGCAGAGTGGTGTCGACTTGTGTGAGGGCTCGCTGCCGCGCACGCGATGGACAGCGAACGCCCTTGGGTTATGTCATCGGTGTCAGGACTCATTGATCTGTGGTCATGTACGTCCTGAACAATTTCTGACCTTCTCTCGATGACGTGTGTGGAGTTACGCTGATGTGTTTATGATGGACATGGAACTTCGCCTCACTGCAAACAAGGCGCCAAAGCTATTTCTAGGATAGGATGGCTGACGGATTTCCCCTATCGGATGCCTGGCTCGCCTTTGGTTCGCCTGATCAGAGGGGGGGCTACCAGGCCGGTTCACCAGGTGAGACTGAGACTGAGACTGAGACTGAGACTGAGACTGAAACTTGCCCATGCATGGCTCATGGCTGCAACTGTGTGTGGGCGGCGCAACATGTTACTTCAATGCTTGGGGCGAGTTCTGGGATTTGCCACAGGTAAAATTGGGTGCGTCGGCGCGGCGGGGTCTGCAGCGTTTGTCACCGGAAGCATTGGTGCGTGTGTGTAATCCCTAAAACCCTAAAAGCATAGGTGCGTGTGCATGTGTTCGAATCTGTGAGTGGGCCTCCGGGTACTCCTCACATCTCTCTGTTAAGTGGGAGCGTCAAGATTGTGGACTCGTCTGCTTTTACTGTCTGTTGCCAGGAGAGGTAATGGTGGCGGAATCTAGGGTTTGCATGTGATCCCTTGTTAATATAGGGTTTGTGTGTAACCCCATAATTTTGGTGGGGATCGCTGCAGCGTCCGCCTCTGTTTCCGTGGCATTTTGCCTTCATCATCCGATGAGGCCAATGAGACTTGCTGCGCGCATTATGCGCCCGGGTGGCACGGCGCGAGAGCCCGCTGTGGCTCAAACTCTAGGCCAACAAAGCGGCCAACCAGAGGGCGGTGGTCATGCGCGCCGCGCGCAGCTTTTCCCGCCGGTGCATCGTGTGGCGTTAACTTGCCGGGCACGAGCATCCCCAACCGTTACTATAGAGCCTGGTTGCTTTCCACGAGGAGCTTGATATGTGGTGTTGTAAGGGCTCCCCCGCATCAAGCTCACTGGGTTCCGCAGTGCGCCGCCCGGGTGCTGGTGCATTTCATGGGCACGCGTTTGTAAGTCTCGCAGGCTCTCGCCATTTAAATGGTCGGGAGACACCTCGGCATGGCTCCGCCCTGCTCCTGCATGCTTCTTTCACCCCTTCCAGTGGTGGTGGGCTGACATCAGCTGGCATGCCGTGCGTCTTTTGACATCAAATGCGTTTCAGTATGGGCTACCACTTATTTCCCCATGTATTGTACCGAGCATGCCATGATATTTGCTTTGAAACCCGGATACCGTCGATGGTGGTCTAAGGTTGCATTGCTTGGAAATGTGCATGCAGGGTTTTTTGCAGCTTCGTACATTGTGAATTGGCTTGTTGCCCAGAACACAGAGCGCGCGCCATTGGATGCGGCTTAAATGAAGAAGTGTTTCAATCACTAAACCAGTGCAATAGATTACGAGAACGGCACTGTGTACCATTGATGCTAATGTCCTCAAACATGGGAATCCATGCACATGCCAGCATCGTGTACAACATACTGTGCCCGGTGTGCAAGGCAACCATTCACACGCGCAGGGCCCTCTCCTGACCTCTCCATGCAGAGGGTATCGAAGAAGACGTTGATTGTGTATGAGCAAAGAGCCCCATAAGATGCCGTATGGCGTGGTACCGTGTGTGGTTCGTACGTTGAGGAGCAATTGGCGGGTCATTTGAATGATCGCCTGAGACGCCCAGGCAATTATTACACGTCACACACAACGTTGTATATTTCTGCATATAACTTTTCTCATAAGCATTAATTGCGCATAAACCTAGACTCGAACAGATATCAGTCTCGGCAGCTTCAAGACGAATGGCTGCCTAAGAGGCACTATCAGTCCGATAAACCACCAATAGAATCGGTCGGAGGCCTCTACCAAGACTCCGGTCAGAGCTGACTGTCACCGCATTAATTTAGTTTGAGTGAATGCGTTTCTTTATATGTTTGGCACGGTTACAGACGACGGTACCTCTTGTCCGCCACACAATCGAGGGACAGTGGCAAGTGTATGCCCCCAGATTTACTGAAGGTGATGGGATCGTCCAAAATATGGAATCAGCATATATAGTGGTAATGATGATACCACTTAATCGGCAGTATTTTAATTGCAACTGAATTTGGTTTTTTGTCACCAGAAAGGGCTAGTACACGGCTAAGCTACATCGCAAGCAACAACTTTCGATCCCACAGTATTATTCACTCAAATGTAGCTATGTAGAGAACTTGTCGAAAACATCGATCACAATAGGGGGATTGACCAAGCAAAATTCGTTGTCCACAGACGCCGCATTAATTGAGCAAATCTTTTCCTGGAAGGACAACTGATACCTTTCAAAGTAAATCACGAGGAGCACTCACATAAAAATCCCTCACTTTATGTCAGCAGAATGAGGGAACTAGCATAAAAATTCTCAGAATATCTGTCATCAGAAGATTAGCTGAGATACACCCCACCACGTCACCTGAAACTGCACACCGTATCCACCATGGATGTGACCATGAACATGAACACGCAAAGGCAATATCGATTCGTGGTTGGGGATCATCTGTCCATCCCTTGCCAAGGCTGCGAAAACCTATGTGCAACAAACCCATCTTTTGACCAGATTCACAAGTGGGGTAAATTGAGTGTTTTGAGTTGACCGCCCCGTGTATGTAACACAAGAAGGTGGCAAAACTTCAGCCTCGAGGTGCAACAGATGAAACAGAACGCAGGGTTAAAAATAAGGGACCAAATACTTCCCTTTCAGCTTTCGGACACGAGAAGCTGGATAACACGCCATCGATGGTCGACGAAGAGTTGCAGGCGCTTGTAACTCTCAAAACAAGAATTGCGCTTGAAACCATCCTAAACAAGGATAACGATATATCAAAACAACAGTGGGCAGGCTATCTCGTTCTGCATTCTACGAAAGCCGGCCTCGTGACTGAAGGCGGCACCTTGTGAGCAGGGTCGAGTCCGTGCGTGACGAGGATATCTACACCACGAAGAGTCGACCAGAAGCCGTTGAGCGTCTCTCGCTCCTGCAGGTTGACATCTTTTAAGGGTTTCAGAACGCCCACGACACTATCAACTTGGTATCAGGGAGCAGCGAACGGTTCGGGGAAGTGCAAGATAACACCTCTGCGCTGGCTCTTTCAACTTGGAAGGCTTGGTTGCGAGTGTGGAGGGAGGTTGACACTGGAGTTCCATGTATGCGAAGGCCTTCAACAACACGCGTTTCATCGTGTAAATATATGGCTTCGCTCAAAACTTCCTTAGTCTTAGCGGGTCCCAACTTCTGGAGAATGTGATCATGATTACCAGCTATAACTAACTGCAAAAGGGCTCAACCCACCACCTTGCGAACACTTAGTCGGGTCCGAAATACAACCAAATATAAACGAACAGGGGAAACTGCTTGGGCTGCAGACAATACTAGCCCAACAAGTTTAGTAGAACACGGTTACATTCTCAGCCTGTCGCAAAGATTATGACGTGACGGTATATCACTTGACAACTGACCTTGTGGGTGTGCGGCAGTCCAGAAAGAAAGCCATTGAACGCGTGTAGATATTCCAAACCAGCAACTTCGTGAATCCAAGGGCCGCCTCTAGACTGAAAAAATATGTCCCCATGGAACAGCAAAATATCACCCGTTGGAATGCTGAGAATATCATGAAGGCTGTGTCTGCGGAAAGCACAATGCAAAATATCAGACACGACTAAGGAGCAGTTTTACTTGTTTCTTGATATACCACATCTTACCATCACCGCGTGGAAGTCGCGTCATACGACGTTCAAACCAGCTTTACAAGCAAAGCATGGTATTGCAGCAGGTCTACGATGACCGATGCCTCCACTCAACACGCAACACGTGCTTACTCTTTAGTTATCCAAGGCTGAGATACTCACAGTGATAGGATATGCAAGCATCTCGCATGTACTATGGAAATGCTGAGGACAAAAGAGGGGAAGAATAGTGTGCGGACGTACGCACGTATCTCCTATTAGAACGATCCGTCTTCGTCCCTGTTCTCGAGTCCATTCTTCCTAGGGAGAGGCAAACAGCGTAAGCTTAAAAGCACTGATTGGCTTGGAACTGCTAACGGCTTATCGTGAATGCGGAAAAACCTGAATGTCGACGAGAGAGGTGGTGCTGTTGTAAACGTCGACTAAAAGCATTTTGTGCGGAAACCGTGCAGATGCACGTCCGCGTGCCTGGACCACTTTGTCTTCAATTGGGAAGTTTTTTGAGAATCTCTCGAGTTGCTGCGAGATGCACGTGTACTCTGTTTCTCTTCCTGTATCTGCGCGTATCGACCACAACGGGAAAAGTATGTAGCATAGTGCCGAAGTACTTTTGAAAGAATACAGTGTCTTCATTAAACAGTTCAGAGTTGATTTGTTCCACGTCTTGATCACTGCCTATACATCTGAGAAAGAGAATTGCAAGCCATATGCACGAAGCTACAAGAGCATCGTCGCTATGCAGGGTGTCTTAGCATGCAATTGCACGGTGTGAAGGTCGCCTGTTCTACACGAATCTCGTGAACGAGATAAATAGTACAAGAAAGATAAACGTTTTTCGATCGGATGTCGTGCACCAAATTGAAATAAATGAATTTATTTTCGAATGAAATTTTCGTACATTAATTTTATCAGGGCGTTCATCATTGAGATTCGAATGCAAAAGCGAATTCAGCATTTTACGCCCACCAGGAGGAATTGAACCTCTCGGCCGCTAGGCCGCTACGGGTTTGAAGCCCGCACCCAAGGCCACTCAGGATCAGTCGGGCGACATGTCACGTGGCCTGGATGTATATATGCTTTGTTCAAATTACAACTGTACATCTTATGGGAGCAGCAGCAGCATCTCAACACTGCCGACTGCGTGTGCGTCACTCTCACTCGACTGTTTACTGTACGTGTCTCATACGAGAGAACATAGTCATACAATTCTGATTGCGATGATGATGACCATGACAATGATGACGCTGACGACCATGACGATGACGTTGACGCCTGACATGACATGACAATGGCATGGCATTGGTTCTCCGTGACATTGAATTTGATCCGTCGTCGTTTGCGCTCTACTATGGGGCCAGAGCCTTCGGATCGGCCAAATTAAAACTTTTTGACTAGGGTTTGTATCTGTCATGGAATCCGAAGGCTGAAGACCTTTACGCCAGGCCCGTAAAAAGATTGCTCGAATGGCCTAAAAATTCCAGGGTGCCTTTAGACATGTATTCGAAGGTATACTCAAGTGTTAGTTTTTGGATTCGTCGTGCTTTACTTTTTTCTGCTATTCGCCCTGAAAGTCGCAAATTTACCGCAGAACCAGCAAAAAATTGCAGCAAGAAACAAATTAAGATAACTTTTTCGATACTCGCTTCGTATTTTCAATGATTCAAATGGCAAAGCAAACAAGCAATCAAGCTACCATAATAAGACATCCGTGTGATTGAAAATGATGCCATTCCCGCCTTGTCAATTCCATCACATGGATTGCTGAGTTCTGGCCAGGCAGCCCTGACAGGCAGGCCCTTGAGTCAGAGAGTCCTGACTGAGATTGTGACTAGGGTACGAGTACAAGTACAGTAGTCCGTGCTGAAATCTGTATAGGCAGCCCTGACCGGTGCAGGCCCCTATGACAGATAACTAGGCCAACACTGGACTGCTGACTGATCTGTAGGTTCGCACTGTGACACACGTTGTGTCACAAGTAGGCTAGACTCCGAGACCGTTCCGGGTATATCTAGCTTAGGGTTTATTTATCTTATGGGACGGTTTATCCACACACAGTTCGGGACCTCTGATATCTAGTGAACTAGGATATTCCGGTAGGTCGTGGCCCCATCCACGCTTTTATTCCACTTGCTATCTTGGCCATGATTGGCTAAGCAGCCGCTTCGAGAGCAAGGTACGGTATCGGTTGCGCTAATATTCTGATAAATCGATTTATCAGAATATTAGTATCAATCAATAACTTTTTTTTGAATATCAGAATATTGACTATTGATTGATATATGAAGTCGAAAAATCAGAATCGATCAATACCATGCCTAAATAAATCGGTATCAATTGATCGTTGGCGTTGATTAATCACAATCGATTGATTGCTACATTGAAATCGCAGTATCGATATCAGAATTGGGTATTGATAATCGATCTCCCATGACACCTAAAAACGAATTGTATTGGGTCAATCCACATCAGCATTGGATCGATCGCCGTTCTTGTAGGCTGGCCGTGTGCAGTACCCCTTTTATAAGGGGGCAGGGCTCCAGGCCTAGCTCTACTCAAACTCCAAATCGATCATGGGCAAACGTGGGCGTGGCGCTTTGCGGTCGAAGGCAAGTTCCGGTGTGACCCTGTTAGCTCAAGGAAAAGGGCGTGTGAAAAGAACTCAACTGTCTCCCTTTGATCCAGCCGGCAGTGACGATAACGTGTATGTAGTTCGTGAAATCAAGGCAGAACGCCTTAAAGGTTGCGCCCCCTAATGGCTAATAGGATGGCAAGGTTATACGGATAGGGAAGACACCTGGGAACCCATAGAAAATCTTGCTGGTTATGAGGTCGACATCCGCGAATTTCGTGAACGCAAGAAGCAGGAGATTTCGGAGGCGGAGGCTGAAGAGATCGAACGCAAAAAACAAAAGAGAGAGCAAGAGGCAGCAGAAGCGATTACTGGTAATCACTCTCTCTGATCTGCCTGTGTAATTTTGTATTGATATTATTGATAGTATTGATAATAAGCAACTTTAACAGTGATATCAGTATCGATTGATAGCATAGTGTACTTAATCAAAATTGATTGATAGGGCCTTGGTAAAAATCAAAATTGATTGATTAGAATAGGTAATAAATCAGAATTGATTGATAGAGCAATCGGAAAAATCAGAATTGATCAATAGTACTTGGCAATATATCAGAATTGATCGATAACCTCTAGACCAACCGATACCGTACCTTGTTCGAGAGGTGGTGCGCACTTGCGCGTTTGGGTGCGACTAGGATTTGTGACATGGCTTTACGGTAAACGTCTTTTGGGGCAGCGAGTCATGGGCACCGCGCGTTGCTATTGCTCGATTTTGGCAATGTGTATCTACGTTATCTTACCTGCCCTGATCCCGCTGGTTTACGTACTTTTGGCTGGTGCTAAGGACGCCTTTGACGTTTGACCACGACGACATCTGCAAGTGCCCCACGCTCGTTTCGCCTCTCCGCACGTTCTGCCGTTACGCCTACCCTCAATTTCCGACACAACACCCGAACGTGCAGCCGCGCATCATCTTTTCTCTGGCTTTCAAGAGTATGGCAGCATCTACAAGAGCTCGCAAGCGCCTATTGAGGGACTCCGACTTGGACGCCTCAATACGGCTTCTGGATGTGTCGCGATTATGAACAAGGGGCGGCAATGTAGGGGCTGGCGGGGCGTGAGGGTATTGCTGGGTGCTAAAATGGCGGTGTATCTCTGTTGTGGTTGAGTGTGGGGTGTTGTAAGGGATTTTGGGTTTGAGATGTGGGTGCGGCATTGGAGGGCAAGTTTTTTAAATATATTAACGAAGAGGTTCGGCTCCTTGTTAGGTGATACCGTTCCAGCAGGACAAAACAACACTTTGCAATTGGGCATTCACTGCGGCTCTCGTGTCGTGCGCCCAGGTCGCAGCACGAGCGGCTCCTGCGGTGAATGCCCCCAACCTGCCACAAGGCCAAGTTGGTGCCCTTCGAGCAGCCCAGCACAAGTTCACGTCGAAAATTATGAAAGAAACTGCGGGCAAAGGCGTGCTTCGAGCACACGCATAGCAAAAAGGCATGGGTCAGGTGTCCAGACTCGAGCTGGCGCGTCGCCAACCATGAATTCCCACAACCTGTCATACAGGCCCGTCGGGGAATTCACCGCTGCCAACGCCCACAAGGGTCGAATTCACAAATACAAACACAATGAAAACTGAAGGAAAAAACATTCGGCTGCAATGCTGTCAAAAGGTTGCAGTCAGGTGTTCGGACTCGAGCCGGCGCGCCGTAAGGAAATCAACGGGTTGCTGATTTGGCAGCGCGAGGTGCGAGGGTGTTGATCGCGTTGATTTGGCAACGGGACGCTGATTTGGCAGCGCATCCTGAAATTTTCAGGAAATCAACGGGACGCTGATTTGGCAGCGCGAGGTGTGAGGGTGTTGATCGCGTTGATTTGGCAACGGGACGCTGATTTGGCAGCGCATCCTGAAATTTTCAGGAAATCAACGGGTTGCTGATTTGGC